TTTTGTATCCATATGTATTGTATATTTAGGGTGTTGCTCAGGACACCCCAAGCCCTTCCTTTACTCACCCCTCCCATTAGGCTCCTTCATCTCCTGTTCGTTTCTACTTTCATGTCATATTACACACACACACACACACATACACACACACACACACACACACACACACATCTACCTTTTTATCTATGCATGTGAAATCTAGAACCACAACTGAGAGAAAACATAAGGTATCTTTCTTTCTTCCTTTTTTTTTTTTTTTTTTTTTTTGCTTTTCAAGACAGAGTTTCTCTGTGTAGCTTTGCGCCTTTCCTGGATCTCACTCTGTAGACCAGGCTGGGCTTGAACTCACAAAGATCCACCTGCCTCTGCCTCCCAAGTGCTGGGATTAAAGGCATGCGCCACCACTGCCTGGCGGTATCTGTCTTTCTTACACTGACTTCATTCACTTAATATAATCATCATCAATTGAATCCATTTTCCCACAAACAACACTTCTTTTTTTCTTTATGAAAATGCATTTGTATATATTTTTTACTAGCCTTATTTATAATTGATTTGTAAGACATAGAAATTGTGCATTGGATAATCAGGTTAAATGTGTGTGAGCCCTCCTACCTATCCTTCAAGGGACTAACTGACATTTGCCAAGCGGGTATCCCTGGCTCCTTCTAGTCCCCAAATATTTGAGGGCACCCCGTATGCCACCAACCAAACAAAAAGAGATGACTTCAACATTATATTGGTTGAGTTTCTTAATTTCTCCAGATCCACTGGAGTCTCTTTTGTATTGTGGGGAACATCCTTCACAGGTTTCTGCAAAGTTCCAGTTTTTCACATTTTTAGACTCTCTGCTTCCTGATTGGTGCTTTCTCTCCTTGCTTTGGAAAAGTTTGTTTTCTCTAAAGCCTGATTTTCCTCATAGGCTTGTACAGTTTAGATTTCTTAGCCTAAGCCTAGATGAGGTTAGAGCAATGTTGCACATTCATGTACTTTGTGATAATACGAGAAGGCATAATGCCATTCCCAAACTCCACACTCACTCATCTCAAGAAGCACATTTCCCCTACTCTGGCCATGACAAATGTGTTTGAACCCCACTGACAGCATGGCCATGGGGCTTAATACCGTGCCCTAACTTCGTTATATGGTTAAAATGAGCATCAGCCAGTGGGTAACATCAGGAAACTGTTTGAAGCACATTTGTGGGTGGAAGGTGGCGGTGTTGGTGGCTGAAAATGCTTATGTTTTATTTATTTAGTTATGCTAGTTTGTTTACTTTATTTATTTAAGATGTTTTTATGTAGCCCAGGCTAGAGACTTGTTTACTTATTTGTTTATTTAAGATCTTTTTATGTTGCCCAGCCTAGAGACTTAAAATTCACTGTTCTCCTGCCTCAGTTTCCCCATTGCTAGGATTACAGGTCTATGACAAGAGACCTTGGTCAAATGTGAATTGAAATCCATTGCTTACAAAACAAGATAGAACTGGCCTTGGGCCTCCAAAAGGAAGGATCTTATCTGGTTCTTCTCCAAAGACACATAGGCAGACAATGGAAAACACCTTCTAGGATGAGGAAGGAGTCAGTGGCAGTGAGAAGAGAAGAATTCAGACTCTGTATCAGTGAGGTAACTGACATCTTACTTAGTGGCCATCTGAAGGAATGCCTGGTCTATTAATGAAGATAACACAGCAGTGTATTGCCTTATGTTTATTTGCTAATATATGCACCTATATATATATATATATATATATATATATATATATATATATATATATATATATTCATTCATGCATATGTGTATATTGCTGTGTAAGCCCTCGTGTGTGTGTGTGTGTGTGTGTGTGTGTGTGTGTGTGTGTGTGTGTGTGTGTGTGTTTCTGTAGCAGTTCTGGGTCTCATTCCCTTAGCACTGGGTCAGTATTACAAGTTGTAAATTGTTGGATACTGAAGCAATGCCATATTGGAAGAAAACACTCTTTAGATGGACTTAGTTTGCCTACATACATTTTCCCTTTGAGGTTAATCCAAGTTTATATATATATCTATATATTTTGAGGACTAAAATAGCAACTTGTTAAATTAGAAAAACGTGAACACAAAGCAAGATGCTGTGTTCAACACATGACTCTTCTCTGAAGAGGCAAGAAGAGAAGAAACAACATCACGGGGGACACAGAGGACCATGCCCAGCCTCACCAGCATCTTCCATCTTACAAGATGCATTGATAGTCAAAGGTTCACTGTGTGTAAAAAAAAAAAAAAAAAAAAAAAAAAAGCTGGGTCTGATGACAAGACCTTAAACCCCAGTGCTGGGGAGGCAGAGATGGGCAGATCCCTGGCATTTGCTGTGTTGTCAGCTTAGTCTTTGTGGCAAGTCCCAGGCCAGTGAGAGACCCTAGCTCAAAGGAAAGAAAAGCCCGCCGAACTAAACAAGGATAGTACTTGAAGCATGACCTCTGGCCTCCATGTGCACACACATACATGTGCAAGCACACATACATGCACACGGACACACACCTCCACAATGAAAATGACATTCCCTACAGGCCTAGAGTCTTGCTGCTGTTGGCCACCGCGGGGCTATCTGCAAGTGTGTCGTCTGTTTTGTTAAATTTTCCAAAAGCATCTGCTGTATGTGCTTGGAAAGAAAGAAGACATAAATAATAGGGCTGTTGGCAGCCTAATAGGTGGGTCCACGGTGTCGTTAGGTGCGCGGACACCCACTAACATTCTCCCACTGGCTCCTACAACGTTATCAATGCTGTCCCCACCTGCCCTCATTTTCCATGTGTTATTAACGGAAGGCAGACATCCATCGCAATGACTGTGGCCCAGTGTGTGACACAGCATGTTCTTTGGATCTGAATAATCAGATTAGCCCAGAAAAGAGCAGGTTTCTTGACCTAAACTCATACTTAAGAAATGAGTAATACTTCAGGACCTGTTGTTGTGAGTGCTGTGAACTAGGGGACCCCAAGAGACTCTCCTCACTCCCCTCATCCGGTATTTACTCTCACTCCCCTCACCCTGTACTCATTCCAGCCTGCTGGATTCTAGGCAAGCATTCCCTTGTTCTTCTTTACTCTCGGCTCTCTCCCAGCCTTTCTCTTTCTAGGTGGTTCTATTTCTTATCTTCAAGACAGGGCATGCGGGCTGGTGAGATGTCTCAGTGGGTAAAGGTGTTTGCCACCAAGACTGACAACCTAAGCCCCATCCCAGGCTCTCACACGGCAGGAAGAGAAGGCTAGATTCTACAAGTTCTGCTTTGACCCACACGTATGTTTTGTGCAAGGGAGCACACACATTCACCCACAAATAAGTAAATAGACTTAAAAGATGTTAACGTAGTGCATTTAAGGCTCTGCCATGTACTGCCGTCCACTCACCTGCTTGTTTCTGATGACTAGTGCTCAGCCCTGGGGAATAAGTCCACCATATATGCGCAGGCCCAGCTTCTACATCACCCTCACAGTGAATGCTATATCTATTTCCAAAACCTCATTTCTATCTGTGTGCAAGAGTGATAGCTGAGCTTATGGGACTATTGTAAACATGGAGTGATTATGTCCCATAACTCAAAGATGTCACCTGTGATTAAACACAATGCTATTTCGCATTCCATCTGAACAGAAGCAATGCTGGTAGAAGCCTTGGACATGCCAATGGTTCTAAGATACAGCCAGCTTTCAGAGCTGGTAAACTGTGAAAAGTGATGCAACTTAAAGTCAAGAGCATAGGATTCAAGTGTCTATTGCATGCATGGTGTGCAGTAATGCAGCTTTTATTTTATTCATTGATGGATCAGGTGTCTGTGAACATGGTCAAATGATGATCGTTCACTGGCAGTGGCAGGAGGAGGCAGCTTAGTTTGTGTGAGAGGAGTTTAAGGAATAGACTGTATTGGAATATTATGGGATGAGAGCTTGGACAGGCAGGCGGCAATGGGTGAGGGTGAGACTTGCTTCCTGAGGATTGATGGCTGCCTGGGCTAGGTGGGCTTAATTATCAAATCATGATTTCCCATAATCCTTGAGGACGCTGATTTTGGAATCTGCTGGCTGTCTTCTCGTGTTCAGAAAGCATGGATGGTCATTTCCCCACTGCCCTCTGCACTCCCATGACAGAGAGCTGATTATTCTGTGAGATTTTCTGCCTGTCAGCACTTCATCATTCCCAGAGTCTCAAGGAAACTTAAATGTGGTGAATTCTCTGCATGAACAATGGAGTATTTTCATGGGCCGCGAGGATCACAAATCAGAAACAAATTGGGGCTGAGACCCTGACTGTCCAGCTTTCAGTGAAATGAGTCTAACAGCATTGGGGTTCATGAAATCTGTCTGTGTGTCTGTCTGTCTGTCTATCTGTCTGTCTCTCTCTGTCTCTCTGTCTCTCTGTCTCTCTCTCTCTGTGTGTGTGTGTGTGTGTGTGTGTGTGTGTGTGTGGCATGTGGAGGTCAGAGGTCAGTGTAGAGTCTTCTTTAATTGCATCACTCGTTAGCGAGCCCCAGGGATGCTCGTATCTCCACATGCCCAGCGCTGGGGTGATGGATGTGTGCCTCCACACCTGGCTTTTTCCGTGGGTTTTGAGGATCCACACACAGGTCTTCCTTCATCCTTGCACAGGGAGCGTTTTACCCACTCTCTCTCCACATCACCCTGAAGTCTTTTACTGGAAATGTCAGTAAACATGGGAAGTGTCAAGTTCTCATTTATGTTTTTTTTTTTTTTTTTTTTTTGGTTTTTTTTTTTTTTTTTTTTGGTTTTTTCAAGACAGGGTTTCTCTGTGTAGCTTTGCGCCTTTCCTGGAACTCACTTGGTAGTCCAGGCTGGCCTCGAACTCACAGAGATCCGCCTGGCTCTGCCTCCCGAGTGCTGGGATTAAAGGCGTGCGCCACCACCGCCCAGCTCATTTATGTTTTTTTAATGGAACTATTTTGGAAGATTTTTAGTATCCAGATTCAGTTTCTTGAACATATATACTCATTTTGATACTTCAGTATAAAACATAATCTGTTCCTTGATTGCTATCACAGGATCAGGACCAGGATGAAGATGGTCCTGCTGCTGATATTGTCAGTACTCAAATGAGAAATAAACACTGGTATGTCAGCACAGCAGGACCTTTTTTTTTTCCCCCTGGGGGCAGTTTAGTTAGAATTTATGTGCTTCTTTTAAGGTCATAAAAAATGGCCTTGGGAGGCAGCCACTAGCCACATCAGACTACCCCAACTTTCCTGGAGCAACAGAGCGAACACCCCCGCACACTGGCACACACTGATCTAAAGTGCGGGCCTTTTTATAGCAATGCAGAGGCGGGAATATTAAATTATTAGGCCACATTTCTGCCAGATTTTGACTGGTTTTGAATTTTGAGTTAAAAAGCAACCCCAGCCTCTCCCAGGCCCTGGGCTGAAGGTTGTAGAGAAATAACTGTAGCCATATTATCTTAGGCTTCTACAGACAGACCTCTGGGCAGGTAGGCAGGCAGGGCAGTGGCAGGCAAGATGGCCAGCTACAGAGGAGGGCAGCCAGGAAGCAGGGACAAGCCAAGATCAGAAATTCTCCCCAGGGCTGGAGGCTAGGGACCTCCCGTGCTCCTGGGTCCCACTCAGTTCTCCTTTCTGGAGTTTGTCCCATCAAGCTCGGTGCCCTCCTTCTCTTGAAGTGCTAGGACTGCAGGCAGAGAGGTTGCTGGGTGCTTGGGGCTTTGTTTTTATCATTCTGACTTGAAATGGGAATGGGGAGGCCTGTGTGTGCAGGCAGTTGAACTGGGAACAAAGTAATGTTTGCATCTGAGGCTGGCTTTTCATCCAGCAGCTAAGTTCAGTGACACGGGCCTCAGAACCTACCCCCTCAGCTTTCTTTATCACCCAGTGGAGTGTGTGTGTGTGGTGTACACATGGGTGTCTGTGTGTATGATGTGTGCATGTAAGAGTGTGTGTGTGTGTGTGTGTGTGTGTGTGTGTGTGTGTGTGTGTGTGTGTGTGAGTGTTATTTTGGGGGCACTTTTGGACTTCTGTTTAGGATAGAGTCCATATTTTACCTGTTTTGAAGCATTTATCCCAAAGCTCCAGTCAGTCCTTTTAGAATCTTTTCTGTCTCGTGAACAAAGCAACCACAACCGGTGAGTGTCTGGATTACACCGCCTTCCTCATTTTCATGCAGCTCTGACTTTGAGAAGAATGTTCCGAGGGGAAGAAAGGACGTGTGCCCTTCTTATCGCTAGAATTTTAAGGCTTTCCCCACTTAAATCGATCTCAATTAACTTTGATTTCTTTCTTTAGAAAACCATGTGTGAAATTATACTTTGCCAGATGTGAGAAGATTCCTTCCCAAGCACACACACATTTAGGCCTCATTTTAGCTGGGATATTTCAGTCCTCCCCCACCAACCCTGCTCCACATTTATTTCCCCGATGGCTTTGTTTACAAGAATATCTTACTTTATCCTGAGAATAAGATTTTTAAGTTACTATGTTTTTGTTGCTCTTCAAGACTTCTAATTTTTAAAACACAACCTCACAATTTGTCAGCCCCTCTGTGTAACCTGTTTTTGCCAGTTTCTGATAATAAATCACGTATTTATTCGTGTGTCTTCTCATCAAAGAGCCAAAGCTAACATTACACAGTGTGTTATTCTCCACAAGCCTTGCTTGAGTCCTCATGCCCGACCAGGAGCAGGAGCAGCCGCCAGCCCTGTCTTCTATTCTGAGGCCATAGGAAGGGGGACCTGCCCAGAAAAATAAGTTGGAGGTATAATACCCCAGCTTTAGTAGGTCTGTTGGACTTTACTGGACTTTGGGGGACCTATTAGACCCCCACAACTCTGAGATTAAAGTCCTTAACTCACACATCCAATGAGACCAGGAAAGATTGCTGTATGATTCACACTCTCTGACATTCAGGATGCCACTGATAACCCCATTTTCTGGGACTGCCACTTCATGACCTGTGTGGACATGAGTGTGTTGCATGGTTCAGATGCCCACCCCGCCTTGTGCCTGCCTCTGGCTCTGTGGTGGACACAACCCATGGTTCAGTTCCTGTTCAAACTCCAGCCACACTCTTTCCTTAAGTGTGGCAGAGCTGTCGCAGGCTGAAGCCAAGGCTGGGCTTTATGGATGCACAGATACCTGCTACTCCATTGAGAGGTGGGCAGAGAGTTCCTTCACCTGCTTCTTATGCATTGACTCAGCACAATCAACCAAAGGCTTCTTTTCTCTGGGAAAGAGAGAGAAGCTTGGTCCTCGGGGGAATGAGATGGGGGTGGTAAAATGCACTTGGAAGGGGCAAGAGTGCAGGGGGGTTGCTTCATGAAAAGTTGTGGTTGTGGTATGTCGGGGGGCGGGGGTGGTGGTGGTGGAGGACTTCATCTTCAACAGGTGCTGTGAAAACCTCTGCTGCTGCTGGTGAGCAGTTTGACTCACTTTAAGGTCAACCTGAGGAATGGGAACAGAGTGCCGGTGTGAGTGTAGTTCCCAGTGGAACAGATGGTGACACAGGTTTTCACCTTTGCAAACTCCCTGGCTTGCCTTGGCCAGCTCATTCACAGTTAGCTCAGCTCTAATGGTTCTGGGTCACGATGAGAAAGTTTCTTGAGCTTTTCCCCCACCTCCTCGCTGGGTCTCAAGTTCAATTTTTAAAAAATTATCCAGGGCTGGGGAGATGGATAAGCAGCCAAAGTGCTTTTCATAGACATATGAAGACCTGAATTAGGTTCCCAGCACCCACGTAAAACCCAGGAATGATGGCGTGCACCACGCACTTGTAATCCCTGCATTGGGAGGCAGAGACAGGGGCACTCAGGGTGCTCACTCACTAGGAAATAAAGCTGACTAGCTCAAGGTTCAGGAAGAGTTCCTGCCTCAAAAAATAAGATGAAGAACAATTTAGAAAGATACCTTCCATCAACATGACCTCTACATGTGTATGCACAGATGTGAGTGCACACACACACACACACACACACACACACACACACACACACACACACAGGGCTGGTGGCCTCCTCATTAGTTGATAACCATGCTGAGCAGACCTAGGGATGGAAACAGACATAGTTATGAGTTGATGAGTTGTCTCAAGGAGGGACTTTTCTCTTGTTCTAGAAAATCAGATTGTTTCTTAATTGCTGCATGTAGTAGCTATACAACGTATTGTTCAAGCAGCTGAAATTTCCAAGTCAGATCTGCCTTCGCTGATTTGCTCATAGACTCTAAACACACCCATCGGCTCACCCCTTGCTGAAGCCCAGAAAAATGTCCCCATTGGGACAAGTTTCTATTTTTTTCTCACAAAAAGAATGAAAGTATCAGAGGACAGAGAGTAAGCAAGTGTGAGCTAGCTCTTTACTGATCCAGGTCTTTCAAACATCCCGGTATTTGGAGGCATCTGGGTAATTCACAGCTTTTTATTTTTTTGCTTCATTTACCATCCAGATGTTCACCATCATGGAAGCGTTGTTTGAAACCCTATTCGGCTAATAACACAGAGTGGAAAAAGCCGCGTCTTTGTCTGGCTGTCCTTTGGTGTTGCGTGTCCCTTCACTCTTGGGAGGACCTCTCTCTCGGAGTCTCCTGGGGCACGGGGGTTCCACCAGATGCCTAGGTGTCAGCCTTCACAGTTCTTTTTCTAATCTTCACGACCATTCTGCGACCTGTCTGCCTGAATTATAGATTGCATTTGTCAAATAATGACAGATGCAATTGGATGTCTTCTAAGACCTTTGAAATTCAACTTCCCCGTGTTGAGATGAAAGTGGGCACTGTCTGCCCCTGCACAGTCCAGGCTAGGGTGCTTGAGACCTGCAGCTAAGCACTTCTAGGCTGGGCAGCTCCAACTTCCAGAGTGTGCAGTGAAGGAAACAGAGGTACCTTGTTTTCGCATTCTTCAGTAGAAAGTAGAAAGGCAGGCCTTTGAAACCATATAAAATGTGGTCCCCCAAATGTTGGAAATGGCTCTGAGACACCATGTCCGTTGGGATGTCCTGAATCTCCTTTTCTGTTTCTTCATCATCCAGGAGGCCTTATCAGTTGTGAGTGAGGACCAGTCACTATTTGAGTGTGCCTACGGAACGCCACACCTGGCTAAGACAGAGATGACTGCATCCTCTTCCAGTGACTATGGCCAGACATCCAAGATGAGTCCCCGAGTCCCTCAGCAGGACTGGCTATCTCAACCCCCCGCCAGGGTCACCATCAAGATGGAATGCAACCCCAGCCAGGTGAATGGTTCCAGGTAAGCAACGCTGGCCTTTCCTCTTCCAAACCTTGATTCTTCCTGTCTGCCGAGACGTGGTGTGGTGTAGCTTCTTTGCTCTGCTTCAAGGACTCCCAGAGAGTGAGGCCACTAACTGGAAACACAGGGCACTTCTAGGAAAACGTACTCTCCAGTGGTTTGGGCTGAGGACAGAGGCTGCAAAACCAGTAGTAGTGCATTTACCAAGAACTGCCTTTGAAAACCCGCTGCTCAATTCTGTGTCCCAGGTGTGAGGGCTGGGAGGGAGGGAGCGGGCTTGGTCACATATGGCGGAGTTCATTTCTGGGGTTTTATTGCCTGGAAGGCTGCTGTCTTGTGTTTCTATGGAGACACAGTATCAGCTAGTAGCCAGCCAGCATAGCATCTGTCCAGTGGGTCTGCCATGGATGCACACTCAGCCTTGGCCTGCTGTCCCCGCTGTTGCCGTCCCTTTTCACATACTTTAGCACAGGATGCTTTTATCTCAGCTTAAGTGTCTCAAGTCTCACATAGATGCTGCTTCTTGAATTTTGTCAAGGAAATGTGGCTGGCACTCAGAATGTTTTATGAAACCTTCCCTAGCAGTCCAAAGCATTTCATTACCCAGAAGTTTGAAAGGTAGCAAGAGGGATAGGGAGATTGCTCAGTGGATGGTGTATTTGCCACATGAGCATGAGTACTTGAGTTCAAATCCCCTGCACCCACACAAAGCTAGGGATAGTAGCATACGTCTGTAATAGCAGTACCCTTGCAACAAGATGGGAGGCAGACACGGGGGACTGGCGGGAAGCGGGAGGGCCAGCTAGCCTGACGTATAAACAGTGTCAAACTACAAGAAGACCGGTCTCAAAAAAGCTGTAGGAATTCCTTAATATGTATTGTGACACCCTCACCCTGAAAGAGAGAGAGAGAGACAGACAGACAGACAAAGGTGGGTAGCATTAATTTCCATTATGTTATGCTATATATACCTAGGGGAATGAATGTAAAACCCAGGGACAAAGATAGGATGATTTCTTTTAAATCCCCTATGATCTCCATTATACACAAGGTCCTAAGAACAGTTCCCATTTCCTTGTGTTTCGCGAACACCAAGTCCCTTTATCTCTAGTAGGTCATTGATCCTCTAATCAGCACTAGGAGGAAGGCCTGTTCCCATCTGATGGATGAGGAAACGGCTGAGCAGGCTGTTGGCTGGCTAGCCCAGACATGTAGCTTAGAAAGACTCAGAGTTTCGCTGGCAACCAGCAGTGCTGGGCTCAACACCCAGAACGCTTTTCACCCTGCAGCCATGAGAGGGTCTCTTTGTTACACGTATGTCTCAGTGCTAAATATGTTTAAAGTGTTGTGTTTCATAAGTGCTGGAAACCATTGCGTCAGCTGCTAGTGTGGTGTTAGCACAGGTGTCAATCATGGAGCTTCCAAGGAGCTGTTAGCATCATGGCCACTGGGGCAGCCTGGGGAGGTGGGTGGGGTGGAGCTGGCCCGCACTCTGAGAAGGTGGCCACCGCTGTGTGTCTGGCTTTTATCCCCAGGGGTGTTTATTTGTTTGCTTGCTTGCTTTTTGTTTGTAGTTTTTTTTTTTTTTTTTGAGGCAGAGTCCCACTATATAACCCAAGCTGGCTTTGAACTCGGGATCTTCCTGCTTCTGGCTTGTAAGTACTGAGAGTGTGGGATCTTGCCACTACACTGAGAAGTGCTGTGGTGGAGGCAGGGGTTGGGGACGTCCTTCCTCGACTGAGGACCTCAGTACTTAGAAGCCTAGGGCTGGGCATGGCTCACCTGTGGTCAAGTGACGGGAGGAGACTCGTGATGGGCTGTGTTGATTCCCTTCAGGTCTGCCAAAGACTTGGCCCATCTCCTTGTCCCCAGGCCAGTGGCTTCTCCTGACTGCCTCTGACCTGGGCTTGCATGGATAGGTCTTCCTGAAGTGATATGCCTTTGGAAGCCAAGTTCAGACCCTGGGCTCTGGCTGTGGCATCCGGCCTAGGACCTGCATGGGCTCTGCTGCTCTTTACATGGCTTCATGAGACAAGTGCATTGTACAGCCTTGTGCTGGCCAGAGCCAGGCCACCTCTCTCCCCACGGGGCAGAGGAGGAAGAGGAGGGAGGGGAGAGGGGAGGGACAAGGGAGTGGGAGGGAAGGAGAAAGGAGAGTGGGACAGCGCAGTGGTGGAATACTGCTGAGCCTCAGGCCCACCGTGCTTACAAGCTCCTGAAATAAAACCCAAGGGGCAGGGTGAGCATTGTTGCCATTCAGTTTGTTTTTATAAAACATAAGGAAGGGACAGCAGAGAGGAGGGAGCAGCCACTGCCGCCGCCTCCGCCACTGCAGGAGACACCAGGGAAGTCCTTGTGGGTCTGGCTGGGCCATGCAGGATTCTTGCAGACAGAAGCTAATTTCAAGTTGTCCTGTAGACACTGGCCATTGTCACCTCCCAGCTTCAGGGTTCGGTGGTAATCTTGTCTCTCCCCTTTTCCACTCAGACCTCCCTCACAGGAAATACCCTGGGGTTCCCACAATCGGAGGCTGGCAGGGTACAAAGCTGAAACCAGCCACCAGCGCTGTACACAAAGGGTCCCCAGGGGCACCAGCCTCTCCCAGCTGCCAGCCTCCCACACCTCCATTTGCAGTGGGATATCCGTGGCTCACTGTAGGCTGGCCACAAGGGCCAGAGCTAGTGTTCCCGAAGGCGTGGCCATACCAACTGCCTCCCCTGCCAGGTGGAGGGGCTCTGCCCAGCAGGCTGTCTCCCAGCCCTGTGCTCCCTGGCCCAGGCAGCCGGTTCAAACAGCTGCCTTGGGTAGTAGTGCCTTTGCTGGCCGCTCACAATGGCAATTCTTCTTTTATTTTAAATATCCATAGAAATCCGTACCATACATTGAACACATACCTCAGAGACCGCCTCATCTCTTTGCTTGGCGCTCCCCACTCTTTCAATCTAGACAGTGGTACTTACACTTTCATGTCCTGTATTCATATGTGATTTTATGTATCAGTAAAAAAAAAATCTGTTAAGAATCATAAATGACAAAAACCATGAAATTCGTCTTTCTGAGACTCTTCTCTTCTTTATCTGTGAACTAGATAAGTTTGCTCTTTTTATGGCTGAAAAATATTCCATGTGTATAGATACCACATTTCCTTAATGGCAATTCTTAGTGGCCTGCCTGTGGTCCCACAGCTACTGGCATGTCATAAACTGGCCTCCCAGGCCTGTCCCCAAACTTCTTGGAGCCAAGAACTCATTGATTCTGTCAGATGAGGGTCTCCCTGGGGTGGTGCTTCTCAAACTGAGGTCCTGAGCCAGGACCTGGGGACAAGTCTGCGCAGATCCTCAGGCTCTGGAGTCTGAAGAGATGTGGGCTAAATCTGCATGACTGTGAGGAACACTGCAGGGTGTCCTGGTGACTGAGAAGCACCACTTTGGGGCGCCACCGAGGGAGGAGAGAAACAGCCCATTATCTGAGCCAGTGAGCGGCAGACAGAGGGAGCTGTGCTTCGGAGGTCTGTCCACCCATCCACACATCTCTCTTAACTCTCCATGAGGATCCTGTGCCTGGTGGGGTCTGGGAGGTAAGAGATGGAGTTCCCTGGGCCTTGGCTCTTGGTGTAGCCTGGGAAATCATGTGGGACCTGCCTCACTCCAGCCTGTGGTCAGATAGCAAGATGTATCTTAGAGTTTTCTTTTTTAAACTGTGGTACAGGGTCTCATGTATCTGAAGACGCGCCTTACGCGTGAGGCAGCGTAGCTAGGGATCACCTTGAACTCTTGATCCCTCTGCCTCCACCTTCAAAATGGCTGGGATTACAGGAAAGTACCACCAGACCTGATTTATGTAGTGCTGGGAACTGAACTGAGCACCTCACGCATGACAGGCAACTGTGCTACCAACTGAGCTGCATCTCCTGCCCGGTGATGAACCACTTTAAGAGTGTGCCCCGTGGAGCGTGAGGAAGGTCATAGAAAGGGCCGTGGGCCACTTGATTGGCCCTTTGATCTCAGACATGATGGTTATTTACAGTCAATTCATTCCACTGGGTTCGTGAAGCACCTGCTATGTACAGTCAGTATTCTAAGGCTGGAGCGATAAGAGCCTTGGCTGTTGGGTGTGTAAGGGAGGGAGGCAGCCATTTGATCCGCTGACTCGTTAAAATACACAACGAGCTGGGAGAAGAGGAAGGCAGTTCCAGACAAGGTGGCCCAACAGAGTCACCTTAGAAAGTGACATCTGATTACACACCCAACAGCAGAGAAGGAGGAGATCTCTTGGTCAAACAGTGGAAGAGCATCCTAGTAAGGGGGTGCCCTGCGAAGGCCCTGGGATTAGCCTGAAACCACAAGGAGCCTGTCCACTTGACGTGTAGTGACCAGGGGGAGGGACCGGAGGTGGGTTTGCAGAGGTCCCTGTGAAGGACCTTGGCTTTACTGCAGAGCAAGCTTGCCAGTGAAGGAGGGCTGCGAGTTTCCTCAGACTCCGTGGGTCTTGCTGGCTCCGGGGCTGAGGCTGAGGGCTGGGTGCTCAACAAGGCACTGGGGTGTGTTGTCCTGGGGCTCTGCAGAGCAGCAGAGTGACAGGGGCAAGGAGAGGCGTTGCGGGATGTGCATTCTCTGGGAATGGAGCTAAGTGCCCTGCTCTGGGGTGAACAGTGTGAGGAAGGAAGGAGTCAGGGACAGGGTAGAGGTTATAAATCAAGCACTCGGTGGGCAAACCAGAGCTGGAAAGCACCTTGGACTCACAGCCCAGGCTGCTTTTCAGTGACAGCTTTCACTCTGTGACTCGGCTCCTACAAAGACCAGGTAAAATGATGGGCTCTCTTGCCTCCGTTGGTTCTGTAAACCTTCACGCAGCCCACCAATGGGTCCCAGCCCAAGGGAGTTTTGCCTACAGGTGGAGGCTGGCAATGTCTGAAAGACACTGTGTGTGTGTGTGTGTGTGTGTGTGTGTGTGTGTGTGTGTGTGTGTAATGAGGATTCCCTAAGTTTGGGGCAATGGAG